TATGACACTTTCCTCAAGTTTGTCATTTGCATATGTAACCAGAAGAGTTCTACTACAATACACCAAAACCTGGAGTTATTTGGAGTTATTTTACCAAAAAATATAATTGATTTTACCACCCGGTCTAAGTTACCCCAAGAGCTGGGGTAACAAAGACCATCACTTTTTTTTAAATTACATAAAGACGATGAGAGGCAGGGGCCAGCAATTTATGGTAAGTGAAGCTAGAGTATAGACCTGTATTTTGCATGTTTCAATTCAAGTTTAATTTAGCTAGTAAAAAAATGGCATCATTTATAAAAAAAAAGTGGTCTAAGTTACCCCATTTTATGGTATGTGCTCAAATAGTGTTAGATTACACTGTTGGTGAGTTCATGCTCATGTAACTGATATAAGTGTTAGTTATTATAAGTTTATTGATGACATTGGAATTCTAGAAATGTTAGGTTGTATATTCAAGATTGATCCAGATTCCAGACTTGTAACTTGCCCATTGCTCAGTTCCAGAAATTTAACTTGAACTATGGAAAGAAATGGTATTGTTAGTTCCTTGGGCTAATTGGGCTAATAATTTGAATTATGGGACATAATTTTGAAAAGATTGTTGATAAAAGCTACCATCAACCGGGGCTACTCGGGACGGGTGGGGTAACTCGGGACAGTCCTCCGACTTGGCGTAAAAACTGTTTTAGTAGCAAAACTAATTGGAATATTGCAAAACTAAATATAGTGGGGTAAACGTCAACATTTTTCCTATCTATGTAGTATAAAGGAAGTTCAAAAATACTACATTTACTAGCTTTGAAAAATTCCTGAAAAAATGGTAAAAACAATATTTGAAAAGTTACTTCTGCTAAGGTCTGTAGTAAAAAAAAAATATTTGCTGTATTAAAAAATTTCGCTCTGAAAAAAGTGACAGACAAGTGTCAGCATGAAAACTTTATTTGTGGAATTTACAAACCTCAATCAACAAAAAAAAATGGAGGCCATTTCCGCAAGGCAGTGCTACTCGGGACACCACGGGGCTATTCGGGACACCCCCAAAAACGCATTTACAGTAGAACCTCAGTTAACAAAAGCTGTAGTTTAAAAAATTGATTAAAAACAAAGAATATTGATTACATTTACCTTGCTCAGCAAAAAATTTCACTTGTCGAAAAATTAGTGCATCGTCGGTCATCACTAAATTGTGTAGAATGTCCTATATAGAATTGTGCACCAGGTATCCTAGAATGAAAAATAATTGACCTAAACTATGATTTATTTCTCCAAAACATATGATGGTTGTCACTAAAACATTCCTTCTGTTTCAGGCATGTTTTTCACAATCTTTTTTTTATAGTAAATTCACTTAACCCAATTAAATGGTGTGAAATTACAAGCCATCCTGTAAGCTTACAGATACAGAAAAAATGCTATAAGGCTGCTGTTATGAAGCTTGCAGTGGACAAGGTAGTTGAAATGCTCAATGGCCTGTTCATGGGTATGGTAATATCGCATCAATAATATGGTAATTAATGTATATGGTAATATCATATCAATAAAGGAAAAACAAGTAAAAATCACAGAAAATCTCATTTATTCTACCTCTACATCATCTACAATGAAAGAGGAGGACTTCAGAGTACTGTTAGTAATGGATGTGTACACTCTGCATGCTTCATATGTTTTAAAATTAAGTTTTATTCCAAGTGTCCCGAGTAGCCCCGTTCGACGGGGCTACTCGGGACACTCTTTTTTTGCTTCTGGCACCTTACAAATAGCATATGGAATATTTTTGGAGAAGCCATGCAATAGCCCTTGCAAAGAGCTTTGAAATGAACCTAAACTTGTTTATGAAATATTTCATGGTAAGAACTTATGAATGAAAAACGTTTAAAATCGTCCTGTGTAGCCCCGATTGATGGTACCATTTTGAGAATGATCAAAAAAAAATTTGATAAAAATGTGCTGTTTTTCTTGTTTCATTGAAGAGATAAAACTGAAACCATAAAATGGATAAATTGACTGCATTGCAATAAGCATTTTTGTCTCAATCACACATGGCTTCTGCACTCTGCAGGCTGCCCAATTTTTCAGAATGGCCAAGCCATGGTGGCAAATGAGAGATTTTTTTAGAAACCAGGTTATCCTACTTCTCTGATCTATATTTTGTTTAATATATTATGTATGTATCCAGGGCTGAAAAAGTTCTACTTTTTTCCAAAATGTCATGGCTCTAATATGAAATCTTGCAGCTCTAATGTCATGTATTATTGTTTGATTGGAAAAATTGCAGTTTGCACTTGACAAACATGTCATTTCATAAAATTTTCAACTTCCACAATCCGCAGTACTTCAACGTTCTGGCCAAGATATCCTGCAAAACGTAATAAAAAGTCTACCCAAAATGTTTCCTCAAAGATAGCATAGTTGCAGCAGAGCTGCGGCAGTGCAGTGGTGAGAGACTCAGTCTCTCGCACCAAGCTCCAGGGTTCGAGTCCCACTGAGGACAAGTTCTTCTCGGAAGCTCAGCTCATGGCAGCTCAGCCATTCATCCAACTCTGGTTGATAAATGAGTACCTGGCTTATCCAGAGTGTTGTGTAATGCAAAAATGGTTCTGGTGGGTCAGTGAGCCAGTGATGGTCGTGGAACTACCAGTGGCACCAAGTGCCCAGAAAAACTGACCTATCACCCCCTCTCTTACCTAGTCACCACTACCAGGATGGGCAATTACAACAACAACATAGTTGCGGTCATCAGGTCACGTCAGACTGTCAGAGTGGTCAGACTGCATTATCACATGTTCAGTTGCCACTTGAGTAAAGACAAATGTTAATGTTGCACTGTTGCTGTTTGACTCTTTTAGGGTAAAATTAGATATTTGGGATAACACGTGCATGGGACTTTGTAAACATGTTTGCGGCTTGTAAATAGTTTTTCATAGCGCAGATATGGAATTCACTGCTCAAAGAAATGGAATCACGGCTGGCAAACCCATAAAACCATTGCTTGAAAAATCCAGTTGCATCTCGCCAAGTACAAGTGGATATATTCCATGCCTGTATGTCTCTATTAAAGTAGGGTTCCATGATACCTGCTGATCTGATCAAACTGCTCAAAGGTCTCAATTGAGAAGGTGAACAAGAAAGCCTCATTTTTGCAATTAACCACAATGCTTTAATGGCATTAAATGTGTGATAACAAGTTTTTAGTGCATTTTCTCATTTATGGAAAAAAGGCGCTATTGTGCTCATCATGTCCCGTCTGTCTGTCCATCTGTCCATGACTTCACGTTTTTGTTGATAAGAAAATGTGCACTCTGTCTTTCACTGCAGTTAGTGCGTACTGAGTTATATTTTTTATACTTGAATTGAAGGAGCAATGCAGTTCAAATGCAGTCTGTGTCTGACATGACCACAAATCTACAACTCAGAGATAATAAATGAAACATTTTGGGTGCAGTCACTGTGCAGTGTGCAGGATATTTTTGTCAATTTGTTGAGAGCATGGCACTTGGCCAAAGATGTTGAAAATTTTATAGAGTTGGGTTTAAATACATCTACTTTCCCAGCCATGACTAAAGCTTTCCTAACATCTTTGGAGCCATGTTATATGAATTATTATTGATAGAATCCCTCTAGGTAAATTATTTTTTGGCTAATTCCAAACAATAGTTTTTGAAGTATGATCAAGATTCTTAAGTTATTGAAAATATGTTTCTCTATGCCCATGGAATTTCATACTCATCAAAATGATGTAGTATAAGAGCCAGGCAAGAAAGCTTTCCTGCCATATTTTTTATAATCAGGATTCCAGATTATGATCAGGTAGTGGCACCTTTTTGTTTACCTATTACTATACCCTATCCTCACACCTGTGTGTATTAGTGGCTGTACATGTGTTCAATGCCTGTGGGCTACTTGCTCTGCATGAACGTTCTATGCCAGTTTATCATATTGTTCATCAACTTGTAAAAAATATGATAGGAATAGGATGTTGACAAAAATGCTTTCAAAGGCCTATACAAATGTTGTGCAATTGAATCATACGAATCTCAGTAGTTGAAATCAAGCCTGAAATAATGAGTGGATGCAAATGTAAAAGCATTGAATAAAAAGTGTTAGCCCATTCCAATGTGATGAAAATTATTTTATCTGCTATGTATGGATTATAAAAGCATAAAAATCAATACCTGCAATCTGAAAGTTAACAGTGACTGAATGCCACAAAAGCAAGATACACACTGAAACAGATTCCCAACACAAGGATAACAATTGGCACTTTCTTTTCTAGCTTCCATCCCACTGCAACACTAACTTTCTCTTTTGCAAGCATGTTACAGCAGGACTCAGAGCAGGAGCTTGTAATGAAATTTGGATCCTCAGCTTCAAATAATTTAGCACTGGAAGGCAGACCTCCAATATTGTTATGATTTGCTCTTATAAACATCTCTTTGTGTGTTTTGCCTATTATGAGGGATGATGTATTCAGTCATGTCCAACAAATTCTGTGATTCACATTGATTTTTACTGACTAAGAACAGATCATAAAGCACCCAGGCATGTGTTACAGCAGATTTTGCCAACAACTTGAGCATATGAAACTTCATGCTTTGTCTTAATGCAGTTTTATGAGATATCATCTAAATGAATTATAAGCTCCCCATTTAGCAGCATTTTACCCCAGAATGCTTTGTAGTTGTGAGTTTTTCACTTACATTCCAATTTCATTTGCCCAGAAAATATTTTTTTAGGCATCAATACTTGTGTGATGCAAATTTTCATTGTAGTTGCATAATAAATGCCATTCACTTAGATGGTTTATAGTTCCTCCAACAAATTATGCAGCTCCAATACTGACAAAAAAGCTCTAATTGTGGCTTGGAAATGTGATATTTTCTACCTCTGGTTAGAGCCAAAATGAGATGGTAAAGTCATATGTTTTCTTAAATCAGACTGAAAATCTTGTAATATCAATGCCAGTAAGTGCTATACCAAAAGAGCTCAATGTGATGATCTTGTCAACCCATCTTATCCCCTCTCTAATATGTTTCAGACATCTTTTCATATAAGTACCTTAATTTAAGATCAATGGGCAGCATGAGTCTTCCAGCTTCTAATTCTATCATTATTTCTGGTTTGCCCCTAAATTGCACTTCATATGACCTAGCTTTTCAGTTTGGAGAGATTGGCTTAATCAAGAGGAGTCACTTGGAAAAAAATGGTGAGTGTGAAGTTTAATATAGTTCTTGACACTTGGCAGTAAGTGCTACAGTCTTGCCCAACTATTTTCAGGAAAATGACTTGGTTGATGACATGATTCTTTAATAAAATCCTGCAACTTTAATGAATTATCCTAAACAACTTTGTATTTATTTAACAACATTTTACTTGTATGCATTTTCTATTTTAAAATATGTCTTTTATTTTGAGTTGAATGATGAGACAGCAAAGCAAGTTTTAATTTCTGATATATGTATGTAATTTCAAGAGGCTTAACTTATCTTGGTTGTTGCAGGTGCAAAGCAGTTTACAGGCACTGCTCACATAGCATATTTTGATCCTGCTCATGCTGTGGAAGCTATTAAAAGATATAATGGGACTAATTTCAAGTCTCAAACTATTAGTGTGGAAGCTGATGCCTCCAAACCACAGACCAAATTGCCTATTGATAAAGTTAAAAGTTTCAAGTCTCAAACCATTAGTGTGGAAGCTGATGCCTCAAAACCACTGACCAAATCGCCTATTGATAAAGTCAAAAGTTTGAAACGGAAAACTTCTGATGTTGAAAAATTTGATACCAAAATACCTGTACCAGCCCTCAAAAAAATTAAATCCAAGGAATCTGGAGAGCCAAATTCTCCCGATGCTGCTGGAAAGACTGAGAAGAGTACAAAAGAGAAAATACCATTAATTTCAAAATCTAGAGAAAGTTGCATCAGTCAAAAAGTGACAAAGAAATCAAAAGAAAATAAGACGTACAATTCAGATCAACCCGGGAGATTAATCATCCGCAACATATCATTCCAGGTGCAGTGTCTTCAATAGAACTCCTTTATTTATAAATTTAGTGAACAACGGATTTTATGTTGGTATTGGTGGAAGTTAGTTCTGTGCAATTTTTAAATGGTTGTGAAATCTATGCTTTTAATGTTTAGTATAGCATATATACTTGTATAATTGTATAATCTTATTAGCATGTACCTGCGTACAGTATATCATTGCTATTTCTTTAGTTATTGTGAATTGTTATGAATTTTACATGCATGTTATGACCATACGTTTTGTGATTTTGTTTTTCATGATAATTTTTTGTCTTCTTGTATTAAATAATGGGTTCAAGTCCTTCAGCCACTCCTATAATATATTCTAATTTGTGTTAGTATATACATATGTATTTATATCAATCAATTTTGACAGGCAACAGAAAAAGACCTCTCTGCATTATTCAGCCCTTTGGGGAAAGTGTTGCAGGTGCACTTACCCAAGCCTGCTGGCTCCAAGTTCACACATAAGGGACTGGGATTTGTGCAGTTATCTAGCCATGATGAAGCAGTTAGAGCAATTAATAAATTAAATCTTTACAAGCTCAAAGGTAAGTTTTTCTCTGAATTTACATGTATTATGTCATACTAATATTGTTCTTATCACAGCTCTTCCTTATAACATTTTGGAAAGATATTCCAGACTCTAGTGGAAAGAGGCCTATCTCTTTACTAATGTTTTACACATGAAAGAAACTTGCCCCTAAAACTAATGAGTTTGGTGGCACAGACATCATAAATATTTCTATCAACGTTTTTATTTTCTAATAGGTGCCTCTCGAGTTCATGTGTGCTAACTTCAAATTATGCAAGAAGGTAAAAAGTTGTACATTTTATAGAATTATAAAATTTCATCCACATATCTCATTTCATCCACATCTATTAATAGAACATGCATCATTGAACATGCATCAACCCTCATGCCTTCCTTCCAGGCCGTCATATTGCTGTTGACCATGCTGTTCCCAAGGCCAAATTTCAGCTCAATTCTTCTCTTAAAGTTGAGATAAAAGAAGAAGTCAAGGGAGAGGCAGTTAATGATGTCATCTCAACTGGTCCAAAGAAAGGAAAACTGCCCAAGCCCAAGAAAAAGGAAGATTTTGACTTGTCTCTAGTCAAGACAGAAATTGAATCTCTTTGTGGAGAAACGAGTGATCCTTTTTCCAACTTCTGGCCATCAAAGGTCAAGAAGAGTAAGTCTATCAATTATTGGAGGTCTGTGTTGAAAAAAAGGTTTTCAGTCTCTCTATTTTGTTAATTGTTTGTGCCAAAATTTCAAACAAGACTTAATTTTATTGGCATGGTTCTGCTGATCAAAGGCTTAATTCTGCCTAAGTGAAACGTAATTGTACGCCTTACGTGGAATTTCAGATACACCGCTATCAGATGACAGCTCCTCAGACGATGACGCGAAATGTGTTGTGAAGACAGAGAAAGAAGAACCTCGTCGGGTGCCCATCAAACCCGTGAGCCGGGACGTGGAGGAAGGCCGCTCCATCTTTGTCAGCAAAATGTCAATGGACACAACAGCCCTTGGCCTGGAGATGGCACTCTCTAAGTTTGGGCCCATCAAAAAAGTGTTGCTGGTCACTGATAAGCTCACTGAACAGTCAAGAGGCTGTGCTTTTGTTCAGTTCGAGGTAACTAGTCTGATGAATGTTATGCTTTGCCTATCAAAATTTTTTATAATCAAAATGAATTGGTATGAAAACTTGATCTTCCAGTACCTCGTGCATAGATAACCTAATAATAATATAAATAAATATGAATGATGAGCTGTTCCCATGTATAGGTATTACATTTTCATTGAATTGAATCGAGTAGATATTTATTCGCAAGTAGAAATTATGAGTTAAATTTGAAGTAATAACGTTGAAATTGGTACCCCAGACTGCAGAGGATGCCCAGGCATGCTTAGATGCCTCAGCAGACCCTGGCAGGAGGGAAGAGTTCACGGTGGACGGGCGAGTGCTGATGCTGCGGCTCTCGTTACCTCGCAACGACCTGCACAGCAACAACAAAGAGGCACCCAAGGGCAAGGACAACAGGAATCTTTACCTCGCTCGGGAAGGCTGTGAGTTGCATCAATGCCTTAAATTACCGTCGTGTGATGTTATTTTCTGGCAATACTTGAATATTTTCACATAATTCCAAATTATTGTCAAGTAATAATCTAATATTGTCACGCAAAATACGATGATTTACGAATATTGTCATGCAATACACGAAAATTCAATATTATATTCAGCGTGGGTAAAATCGTCCTAGTAGGAAGATTATTTATCTTTTCTTTGCTCATTTGGGGTGATTCACGGAAACTTCCTGATTTGAAAGCTCAATTAAGAAAGAACTAGTTAAGCTATCATTACAATAGCAATTGTTTTGAAAAATGTATTACATGAATTTTTGCATCACTTAGTTTTCAAGATGACATCGGACAAATGACGACCCAAACTGTCAATGCATTCAGTTAGTCGATTTTTGAAGTTCAAGTTAGTCGTTCAACTCGTTGATGCATATTGACGTGTATGTTGGCTATAGCTTGGTGAATGTTATTCTTCAAAGTAGGTAGAGTCCTTGGACAGTCATTGTAAACAATTAATTTAAGATAACCCCATGGAAAAAAAACACTTCCACTTGCCCTAAATGTGTTCACCAACGTAACAATCGATTTCCGATCAGGAACTCGATCTGAAAGACGAATACGGAAATGAGTACAACAGAATGCCCGTTGTGTAGCGATAATGGAACGGCCATTAGAAAAGTATGCCTTGACAGCAAACGCCCACTGCTCACTTGCCCAATTCATTGTGGCAACTGACAAGGTTGAACACAAAACTTCATGAACTTGTTTTTCAAATGAAATACTCCTCACCCTTTTCCTGCAACATCTGGCTGTTTGCCGCGAAATAGAAAACAGGTAGTTTCCGTGAATCACTCAGTATTTTGATGACTATAACGATTGTCTCGTCAATGACGGGTGTTCTCTTATCTGGATAGAAACATTGAAAGTCTCGTGACAGGCGAGTGTTTTGATTTGTACAAGTCTAGTCAATAACTATGAATGACGTGTTGTGTGGCAGTCATCCGTGAGGGCACGGCGGCAGCGAGCGACGTGAGCGCCGCGGACATTCACCTCAGACGGGAGCGCGAACGTGTCAAGGAGAAGCTGCTCGCCAACCTCCACATGTTTGTGTCGCCCCTGCGGCTGGTGGTGCACAACCTGCCGCTAGACATGAAGGACGTGCAGCTCAAACATCTATTCCAGAAATATGCCCCCCACAAGGCCAGGATAGTCGAGGTTTGTTTGGTAGACATAATTCTATAGTAAGGACGTGCAGCTCAAACATCTCTTCCAGAAATCTGCGCCCGCCAAGGCAGGATAGTTAAGGTTTATATGGTGGTCATGATGCAAAGTTTCTATTCCCAGCTGACTGCGCTGTTCAAAGAAATATTCAGTTATGTAGACTGTAAACTGAACCACTGAATTTGTCTCAGTTTTATCTTGGTTATTATTATGTTGAAAAGTTCTGATTTTACTGATTCTTTCGAAATTTAGAAGCTAATCACTACCTCACTTTCATCAGAGTCGCGTTATTCGCGACTTGAAAGCAGTGGACGAAGGCGGAATCGCCCGGAGTCGCGGCTACGGCTTCGTGGCGTTCACGCGACACGAGGACGCTCTGGCCGCCCTCAGGGCAATGAACAACAACCCCAAAGTCTTCACCCCCAGCAGGGTGAGTGGAGGGATCTCCTGTTGAACTTTTACCGACTGGGTGTGTTGTAATGCCTGTTATATTGAGTGTGCTATGGGGCCTACATGGACTGAGTGCATATGGTGAGATGCTTGCCTTGGCTGGGTGAGTTGGGTGACTGCATTTCCAGAGTAAGTTTGGGTGTCTCTGTCGACTGAGCGGGTGTGGGATTAAAAGCAAGTCTCAGATGCGTGATCAGAGTTTACTTGACTTCTGAATGGAGCTCTCTTATATTATTATTCATTCTCCAGAGACCTGTGATTGAATTCTCCATCGAAAATTTGAACGTTCTCAAGGCCAAACAGAAGCGGACTGAGAAAGCAACCGCTGCTCCAAAGCCCGCCACAGTTTCTTCCAAGAAGAAAAAAGTTGTTAAGCGTGCCAGTGCCGGTAATATTAATAGTTTTAATTAGCATTAGTAGAACGTTCTAATAGCGTTCGTACGTAACTCTCATAAGGTGTTCACAGGATGCAAGTTCTATTTACCTCTGCCTAAATTAATGCTTAACATTTTTTTCCGCTGATTTACAGTACTTTACTACAATATCTGCCTTCCTCATTTTATGCTCGTTAAAACGAAAATTTCTAAGTTAGCTCTTAGTAACAGTGGACTTGTTTCATATCATTCTGAAGTATCATTTTCTGCTTGAGTAAAAAGTCCAAGGAAATATAATTGCGAACAAATCAGCATGTTATACTCAGCCTTGTTTATATTTTTTCATAGAATATCACTCATTTAAATCTATTTTTTTATCCCTTCAGCTAAAAACCTAACCTTGAAGAAGTTGATCGCCATGCCAGCAGCCCCCGAAGGTCCGCTGCCTGGCTTCGCTGGTCTGGCGTCATCCAAGCAGGTCATCAAACCGGGCAAGAAACTGCACGTCCATCTCGGTCCTAAGGTAAGGAATCATGTGTGCTTTATTCATACTTAATACAGCAAACACATTCGTATAATCCTTCATTTATGTTTAATAGTGCCGGTTATCTATTGAACTTAGTGGGAACGAGCTCGATTAAATTGCTTCTCTATTTTATTCACAATTTGCATTTTCTATTACACAAGCAATTTTGCCGGTTTATGTTGATTTTCTCGCCCTTCCGATCAAATATGGTGACTCTAACTTCTCATAATCGTTGATTGTATGTAATTTTTTGTGCTACGTTGCGTTATTACGTTACCCATTGGTATTTTCAGCATCAACTGTTTTTTCAGCTTCTACATTATTTTCAGCCACAATAGTATTTTGACCGCATTAATATTTTCATGTATCTTAGTCGTATTCATGTTCCTTCCACTCCCGTACACGCTGAATTTTGTATATTGCGTGCGCCATCATTTAGGTTGTTCTGACTCTCCTGTTCTCTGCCGCCAGTTCCGTCATCGCGATCAAGGCAAGGGCGTCAAGAAACCGCACGGCAAAGCGCCTGTCAAGAATTTCTACAGAGGCAATAGCAAGAAGAAAGCGGCGCGTGGGTCTGTTTCCAAGAGCAGCAAAACGCCTTACAAGAAAAACAAAACTCCCAAGTAAAAGATTTTTTGAGTGACTTGAAGTTTCAATTGCACCTAATACGTGTATAACTGTATTCAAACGCATTATTCATGAGGTCTGTTGTGTGGAGGGTTTCTTCAAAACAAGTGCTTGCTTATATTGTCGCTCGCAATTTTTCGATTGAAAATACAATAATTTTTCATAAATTGATTCAGAAAGCAACCCCTTACAAGTATGTTATTCCTCAGCTCTGAGGTTTCATTTCCATGAAGTAAAAATAATATATTATGGAGTCGTGCTTCTAAGCCTAGAAGTTCCGTTCTTATAGGCGAGCGAAGCGTCAGGTGATCGTGAAACTGACGATTGGATCACCGCATGGTTGAACTGTTGAACCAAGGGATTACCGTACGCACAAGAGCATGGCGGCTCCATAGCGCGCAATCGATTTACTAAAGCCTGGAGTGACTCACGCTCCGTGGTCTAGCCAGCAGTCTTGCGCCTGCCGCCGTTTTGGAAGCATGGCGGCTGACTTCACTGATACCTATAAAATTTTAGTCATTGGTGATGTAAACGTTGGAAAAACGTGCTTAGTTCACAGGTTTTGCGATGAGCGTTATTACGACACATACATATCAACAGTCGGTGAGTGATGACGTTACTTGGAGGCTCAGCCTCATAATTCGTCTAAAATTGGAATTATTCGTCTTTTATCTGCTTGACATCGGTCTAGCTCGTTGTTTTGGTCTTTAGACGGTGTTTACACTAACATTCGGCTACATTCAAATCAATGTTATTCATTACTCGATAATTACGTAGCATGTAAATTTTTCTCTCATATTATGCAACATAATTTTTTAAACTAAAGCTTCAATAAGGAATGGAAGGCACGGTTTCCTCCCCATATTGTTGACTAACTGTATTGCACATCATTAATTAAAAATAAAATTCTGAAAAAACTACCAAAGTTTTTTATAATTAGTAATTTTATTCGTAACTTGTACATTCAAACCATTAGAATTATTTAAACGTAATCAGCTTGCAAAACTGGCAAAATTTCCTTCGCACTTGGGTCATGATATTAATGGGTGGCTTTGGTACTTAGATATTTATTTTGTAACTACAAAACTGGTCTCTCGTAACGAGGGCAGATCGAATCATAACTGATACTAAATTAATGACACCGCACTTCGACTACGACAACTTTGTAGATTCGTTTAAAATTTGTTCTACGTCCGCTTTTCCTGGTAAACTCCTGAGCCCCGTGAAGAATACTTTGCTGCCAGTAAGAGTTAGTGATGCTTATGCAAGGGTTGTGATTAATTTTTTTATATAATATTTGTGAAGGAAGAATCCGAAATAATTTGCTAAGGTGTTTGAAGTGCAAGCATCCAAAATCAAAACAATAGCATGTTCACTGGAATTTTACGTAAGTTGAAGTCAAGGAAGTGGCTGGAGTGAGATGAAGTATTTTGACAGGTTATATTGAACGTCAATTACTTTTTCACACACTTGGATTTGTTAAATCCGTTAATGATTTATTTGGTTGTGTTTATGAAATTCTTCTCTAATGTTGATATCATGACCTATTCTTCAGAATAAAGTATACAAAAAAACGTATTGAACAAAATCGATTGAGTACGAAAACAAAGAAAGATTTTGTCTCATCGAAAATCATTTCCGTGTTTAGCAAAATTGAGGAAGCGTAATTCAGACCCAACTTCGTATTTCTTTGCCTGTGGTAAATAGGGCAGCAACGGAGGATGCGCGGACCAAATGTGTTCTGAGTTCTGAGCGCCTAGGAAGCCTTTGATCCCGCGGAGGAAGGCCATCTGTGTTGCCAAATTTCGGTGACTCGTGGCCACAACTATCAATGAAGAGGTTATCTGTCTGCCTGTCTTTGCTGGAATTTTACTGCGTCGCAGGGGGAAATATGGTCAGAAATGTTTTTTCAATGTTGTCAGCGTTATTTGGCTTAATCGCTCTGGTAGCATTTAAACGGCAATCCCGTCTGAATTAGGTTTCTATTTTAAAACGAGTTCAAAGCCAAATAAATAATATGTTGGCTTCTGAAAACTGCCATCATGGACCTATAGTCATGGACTGCCATCGGTAGCGCGCTACATGAGGCGGCCGCTACATTTTCAGTAGCGGTAGCGGCGCTACATTTAAGCAATTGTAGCGGTATCGGTAGTGCCCGCTACAAGCGCCCGCGTAGTAGCGATACGAGGTTTTGCCGCTACAGCGCTACCGCTACATTTATAGATAAAGCCTTTAGATTTTACTTAATAGTATTAAATATTATTTAAAAACCAGCATGATACATACATAATATAAATTACAGAATAAAACTGTACGAAAGATTTCGGTGTAATGTTGTCAACCTCAGCCTGTTACTAGGGTCAACATTTAAAAGCAAGGATTAAACCACAAATGTTCATATCTTTATGGAAAACGTTTCGGAGTCCAGCTCCATCGTCAGTTCGTAGAATCTATAATTTACATAGAAAGTCACAAATTAGTACAATTGAAAGCACAAAAAACAATTAAAAACCTAAACTTACAAGTACCAGGGCACAAAACCTATCTATTCACAATTTCAAGAGGATAGGAGCTACCAGCTGAATTTAAACTGGGCCTAAGTTTAAAAATGTACAATGATTCTAAAATACGCAAATCTGAAGTACCGGAGGTGGAAGCTAACACACAGATACGTCGATGACACCTTTCTAATTTTTAAACATTCCTCCCATGTCAAACCATTTTTTGATTACCTAAACTCACAACATAATTCTATCAAATTTACTATGGAGCTTGAATCTAACAATAGTTTGTCCTTCCTCGATTGCAATATTACAAAATCTAATGGCCGTTTTTTGACTTCTGTGTTCCGAAAACCGACATTCACCGGTCTTAATACAAGTTTCTTTAGTTTTTGTTCATTCCGGTTCAAGTTAAATGGGCTTAAAACTTTATTATACAGAGGTTTTCGCATTTGTTCAACATACCATGCTATGGACGCTGAATTTGAATTTTTACGAAATATATTCTCGCTTAATGGATTTCCGGCAAGTTTGGTGTATACCCAAATCAAGAAATTCATGTCGAAGCGATTCAGTGAGGTTGCTCCCGAGCGCGATAGTAGGAACGTTATTTATTGTTCTTTTCCATACTTCGGCCCTGCGTCCGAAGCTATGTCAAGAGAATTAACAGCCTTGTTCGATAGATACTTTCCAAACGTCAAACTTCATATTGTTCTGGTAAACAGTTTCAAAATCGGTTCTTTCTTTAGATATAAAGATATGCTCCCTGTTCATATGCGATCGTCCCTGGTTTATCAATTTCGTTGTGCACAATGTGCATCTGCGTACGTCGGGATGACGTCTCGCAATCTTTATTCCAGGGTCGCTGAGCATAAGGGCAGGAGTTGTAGGACCGGACAGTTACTATCGCGCCCCCCTCATTCGGCTGTGCGCACTCACGCCGAGCAGTGTGGTGTCCCTGTTTCTGACAGTGACTTTAGAGTGTTAGCTTCCACCTCCGGTACTTCAGATTTGCGTATTTTAGAATCATTGTACATTTTTAAACTTAGGCCCAGTTTAAATTCAGCTGGTAGCTCCTATCCTCTTGAAATTGTGAATAGATAGGTTTTGTGCCCTGGTACTTGTAAGTTTAGGTTTTTAATTGTTTTTTGTGCTTTCAATTGTACTAATTTGTGACTTTCTATGTAAATTATAGATTCTACGAACTGACGATGGAGCTGGACTCCGAAACGTTTTCCATAAAGATATGAACATTTGTGGTTTAATCCTTGCTTTTAAATTTTTGGTTAACTTGCGATTTAAGCAAATAAGTGACATCAATTCTTTAGTGTCAACATGATACTAGTTGTTACCATAGGTGGGCAGTAGCGCACTACATGTAGCGATAGCGGTAGCGGCGCTACATTTAATCAATTGTAGCGGTAGCGCCCGCTATATTTAGAGCATGTAGCGGTAGCGGCCGCTACATTTCACAGTAGCGCTGCCCAGCCCTGCCTATATATGACAAATACTAGTAGCGCTGGTCAACATGAGGAATTCATTGCGCACAACAGCGAATTAAACACCTGGAATGTATGAGTTCCCCCTACGACTACTAGGTACATATTCACATTATTCCTTATAAGGGGAGATACTCCGGCCGATGACCGGCCCACCAGAAATTTCCATAGATCTTATTCAAACTCCAGGCTATTTGTTCCCGGTCTAAGCAGTTAGTAAGTAAGTGGCTGACAAGGAACACCTCTTATCTAGCATACTCTATGAGCCGAATAACTTAGTTGTAACGTCATGACATGTCTGGAATGACGGAATGACTGAACTAATTTGAAGAAGAATTATTCTTGTCACAAAAGAAAAAAACATTATAAAGTCATTTTCAGAATCTTACGCCAAATCATATAATTAATCCGCAATATTATTGAGGTAACTTAGCTATATATTTCAGCAGAGTGAAGAATCAAAACAAAAGTCTTTATCTGATTAGTGATAACATGCACTTAACAGGTTGAAATGATATACACAAACGTATCCAAAATGAATAATAATATTCTGGCCACAAGCTTTATTTGCCGCCAGAATTTATTTGAAAACTTTTTTTCATCCAGAACGAGACCGCGCTTCCACTATAGAGAAAATAACCATCACTCGAAATCTGTTCAAGATTTTAACGACAGTTTTAGGCTCGCTTCTCCAGTCCTCGTTTCTCTTCATTAAAAATAACTTCGTGGCAAATCCAACTCATTAGAGAGATTCTGTACATAGGCTCTCAATTTGAGGCGTAATCGTTTGCCTGCTCAGCTTGGCCGGATGAAAGTTTATCGCTTCAACCCTTGAACTGGTGCTTGCATTATTAAGGGCCAAAGTAGAGATATCACGTTTTGCTTTACTCGTGATTTACATAAAAGGTTTACTCACCGATATATTCAACAATTCATTTTAATGTTCCATAATTGACCTAGGCATTTGGTAGTGATTACTTCGATCTCATACTAGCAAAAAAATCACCCCGAAGATAATACGCACAAATTCGTCACTTCATTTTTATTGATTTTTGATTCGTTCCGATTTCATTTCAGGAATCGACTTCAAGCAGAAGATAATTAACTTAGACGGAGTCCCCGTAAGACTTCAAATATGGTAAGCCTTCTTGTTTTAATTTTCGTGTATAAGAAAATAGTTTGAAGTCTTATTTAACTCGTCAAAATTCTTAGATTTTCATCTCAAACGAGATCGGTAGTGTTATAAGAATTGAGATAATTTTCAGCTCAATCTTTGACATGAATTTATTGTAAAAAATCGTTTCGAGACAAAATAAAAAATACAATTGATGTTAACGCAAAATTATCTCCAATGAAATAATGAACTTATATGAGGAGGAACTTTTTTCGTGATTGGTTCAACATTCGTACTAGAAAATATTAGTTCATTTGTAATAAATTGTTCATACAGCACAATACAATTTACACAATACACAATACAGTACATAAATTAAAATGTAATTATTTACGAAGGGACACGGCAGGAGAGGAGCGGTTTCGCACCTTGACGACGGCGTACTACAGAGGTGCTCAGGGTATTGTCCTCGTGTATGACGTCACCAACACTGATTCGTTCGACCACCTCACTTACTGGCTCAGAAACATCGAAGAGGTGCAATTTTGATTACTTTATTCGTTAAACAAATAATATTATTCTATGAATTTCTGCAAAAACGTTATGCTGATACGTATCCGAATCCTATTTCGCATTTGTCCTTGCGCTATCAGATGAGTCAGCAGAGATCGAAGTTACTTAAAAGTAAGCTGACGCATTGAGTCAGCTTACAATGAAGTTGATTGAGTTTAAGATCAAGTTTATCAAAAGTAAAGTTTTTGATAAAGTTGTGTGTCACAGAATGCTTCCCCTGAGGTGGTGAAGATCCTTGCAGGCAACAAATGCGAGGTTTTCCCTCACCACAAACTCGTGCAGAAAGACCGAGCTCAAAAGGTACGTGCGATCCTCCGTTCAACCCTAAGAATTTAATTAACAATATAACATTCGCTTGTACTCATTTCATTGTGATTCACTTTTTCCTGTGTCACTAGATTAACAATTTACAAAAAATTGTTACCAAAATGAAAGTGATGAATGTCTGATTCCGACTATATACCATCAAATGTAACTTAGAGTTTAGTTTCCAATGAACAAAACGTAGAATTTTCTGAAGTTCTTCAATTTTGGACGCGTGTCTTACTTGTGTAGATTTACTGCATGATATAAAGCTAGAAATTTTGCAAAAAGAAATGTTGTCTTTTTTACTGAGAAGCTTCTGACAGCAGGACGAGTGCCCAAGAGAGGAGGTAGCTCGTCTGAGGGAAGGGAACGATTTTATGTCATCGTTGAGGGAGTCGTTAATGTTGTTAATGCAAGAAAATTTGGTGTTGCCTGGACTGCAGAGTAACTGCCGTCACGACCTCTTCAGCCTACACCTCATCTCTTGCTTGTATACAACAAAAACTATTCGCCCTGCTCGTTTGCGCAGGAATTTTTCCCTGTTGAATTTCTCTGACGAAATTAATTCCGTGCAAGTTAAACAACTGTTAATCCAGAAAAAAAAAGTATAAATACTTTTGCTGAGAGTTCAAGTCGATTCTACATGACTGAAAAAGTCTACATTTTGTGAGTAATATTATTTCGCAATGACAAATGGGATGCCACGAATGACGAATGGGATGCCCTTCCTAAATTCTAAATTTCTATCGAAAATTTTCAGTATTAATTTATCGACCAAATCTTCGGAAGCGGTAAAATATATCGATCGATAATGCCATCATTTTCATTGATTTCGAATGTAATAAAGTGTATTTTATCTAAAAATTAATTCTTCACATATAAAGAAATATTCAATGGAATAAATATTCATTAATATTTGGATGGGTTGCAGTTGGCGGAGTGCTACGGTATGGAGTTCCACGAGGTGTCGTGTCGTAGCAATATCAACGTACAAGAGACCTTCAGAAACCTTGCCCGGGCTGTCAGAGATCAACGGCTTGCACGGGTACCACATCCATAGTTTGATTCAAATAACTCTAGGATTACATTTGCTTATTAATCATAATATGCTCTTAGAAAATTTTAAATTAATATTTGGTGCTTTTTCATGTCATTTACTATAATATAAATAAATGGAAAGTCTATGATATGAGTTAGATTCCTTGAGTAACTATACAAACACCCAATCAAAAGATGACCAAAAACATACCATATCCAATTAGAAGTTTTGATATCACTAGACTATTTTATGATCAAATTATAAATCTTACGTCGAGCCCAATGAAAAACATTTAGGGATGTAGGTGCACAATTCTGCACATATTTGAACAATTTTTTAGCATAATTATTAAGCAAGTTATATAATTGTGTAACATGAGCGTTCATAATGAGGCTTTTTCTTCTCTCCACTGCCGCAAACCACATTGACACTGATGCAGTCTATCATACTGAACAATTTTGAGGTTCTTTTAAAATGCTTGCAAATGTACCCATATTATAAGAACACAAGTACACACATCGTAAATATGTTCGCTTAATATAAACCTAATAACATTTACAAGCAAGCTGATAGGGAGATTGGAATTTGGGAAGTGGCGCTAAACAAACTAGATAAAAATAATTGCCTTACCCCGTAATACGTTACTTTAAGTTTTTAATATTCAAGTTTACAATTTTAAGTAATGTGATTTTTCGGCAGGGAAGCGATGCTGACGAACGAACTGGCAACGTCGACTTGCAAGAACCTGCCCAGGCGAACTCCAAGTGCGCCTCTTGTTAACCGGTGACTCCCGTAGCTGCTGTTTAAGTGATAATCATCCTCATGTTGAGGTGATGATCATCCTCATGTTGAGGGGATAATCACCCCCATGATGCGAGAATATCATCCTCTTTTTGTGGAGATTTAGGTGGTAATCGTCCTTCTGTTCCTGTGGTGTTAATCATCCCTCTGTTGTGTTGCTGATCCTCTTCCTGTTATATTGATGATCGCTCAGCTGTTTTGATAATTACTGAAAAATGCCCTGCAAGAAATTATACCGTCGAATTATCAGTAATAAATTCGTCATTCTACGTGTACTAATACAGTGCTTGCCGATCGCGAACGTAACTATTCGGTGATTCTACCGTCTGATTGACATATAGGCAAGTTATTGCGTATAATTTATGAATATTGACTGCATATGAATATATGCAGTCAATTTTTAATTTAAGATATTGATACTTGAATTTTAAGACAGCCAATTTTAAAATGTACGACATCAATTGATAAATAGCCAATTTTAAAAGACAGCATAACAGTTGCAAACGGAATATTCACATGTCAATAGCTACAAGAAAGAATCAGTATCAATCCATTATGAATCAGTTCACTGATTCCTATCAGAATCAGTCCGCAGTAAATATACCTCAATCTATGCACGAGGTTGAGGTAAATTCATTCCCGATTATGATTTACTTTTTTATTTTGTAAATAAGATACCGGTTAAACTGACGTGTAAGCATAACATTTAGGGAGTAATAAATTTCTTAGCCGCTGCCAAGAAATTTACGTTCTTTATTGCTGCAGCACCTGTATGACAATACTCGCTCGATTTGCCTACAATTTTTACCTAGATTAAGTATTTTTTGTGACAATAACATTTCAATTTATGTGAATAATTTTAAATTGTGCAATTTATTCTTCATGTCATGCATGAAGCTTGGAGATAATTCATCCCTGCGAATGCTTCCAAGTTCTGATATCAACAGCCGATTAAAATAACGTCGATTATTCTCCCATGTAATGATTTCTGTTATAAAGCTTTGAATAGTTTACAGATCACTGCACGAGCGCCGTGACACGTTCCAGAAGATGATATGTTTTTCATATGTACCTAGGTCATGAAGTATGAAGATTTCTTGAACATTTGTTATTTCTTGAACGTTTCTTGTACAAAATGACATGTTTTTTGCATGTAGGTCATGTAGTATGAACATTAAACAGGTATGAGCTATGCTGTGACTGCTGTGAGGATTATTCAACTATGCAAATTTTATATGTACTCCGAACATTTTGCGCTGATTTCAAACAATGTCTATACATTAATTATTCATATACATGTTTTTAATTCATCATTGTTTAATAGAATGTGCCACTATAATGTGTAGATACAAATGCATTGAAAATATATTCGTTTAAATGTTCAAAATTTTGGAAGGCTTCGAGTGGAAGCACTTTAATGCATTTACAAATAGGAAAAATTACTCTGTCTATTACATATAATCATCCACCACAGATTTCTCTCATAATCTTTCCAACAATAATTATGTCAATATTTGGGTTTACCTTTCAATTAAAATTATTTAATGTTTGCGTTGTTCGAGTTTTAGTCTGTGGTAAACCTTGGTTGAACTATAAAAGGTTGACCCTTGATGATTTCCGCCTTTCAGTTCAGCTTTCTTGTTACGTCCCTGAGTTCAGTGACGTCACAGGCGAACAACGAACTACATCCGCAATAATAAGCTTCTCATGGGTCAACCTTATATTAGTTCAACCATGGTGGTAAACAGAGTTCCATTGATGTCTCACATTCTTTATTTTACTCCGGGGTACGGATAAATCAAGACCGAAATTTCGCCTTTCCGACGCGCTGCGTTCTTGGAAACGTAAGTTCATGTGTGGGTTTCTAGTCAATCCTGGCTTGTTCTCTCAAATTTCCTATGTACGTTTATTTAAAGTAAGTACTTATGGATATATCTTCTGCTAACTTTGACGCGGGTGCATTCATACCAATCATACAAAAGACTTAGCTGGGAAATCTAAGGGGGGGGGGCAGTCCAGAAATCTAGTTTTAGTTTTCACTTACTATAGTTATTTGTAGACTTTAGATACGGGCTAACTGAAAATTTATTATAAATATAAAGAATCACTTGAACACTTGACATACGCATCACATGAGTTTACTGCTTGAATAATTTTATGATCCAGCATCGCTGCACAGCATCATTTTATGATCCATCCAAAGATGCGCAGCGCTCATCTTTTTGTGGAAATTGCATATCATTTCACTATGTCAGTCCAGTAATATAATCAGTCAAGTAATAAAAATAGTTGACACACAGAAATGAATGTATGAATATTAGAAGTATTTTAGAATTTTTCTGTAGATACGCGTGCTTGCGTAAAATAAGGCTGCGTGAAATTATTGCAAAAAAGTTCAGCACGTGTCGGAAGGATGTCAAAGCCATGCTCTTGATTGCGTTCCTCGATCTAAAAAAATATCTCTAAACCTTACAGTGCGCCAGTACCAAAATACTGCACTGCAAATTTCGTGAGGATAATAATTTATGCCTCCGTGGAGGCTTTATTGTGCATTTAATCGCTTTGTATTAATGTTACATTATTACTACGCGGTCTGTGTTTGATGTATGTGTCTGTACGTGTAGTGAGTTTGTTGGCAGCTGTGAGCTAAGAATGACTTGCTCTGAAGTTACTCAGTAGTAAACGTAAATAAATAATTTCTATGGCTCTTTTTATTCCTTGGCGTGCATTCCCCGTTTTCTCGCCAATCACAAATGCTTTTCTTCGGGTTTCGTTATAAATTTCATGATCTTTCATAGTCGTGTGAGTGTTGGGCCTAGTTTTGCATTAACACAGGCAATGATGCGATCAAATAATCTCCCTATTCAGGAATAGTCGGCAAAAAATCGATTATAAATATTAAGGTCACTGTTTGCTTGAATAGCAAATTAACAAGAAATTTAAAAGCAAAGTAAATTCCACCAAAAGTTCATCATATCTCAAAAAAAAAAAACGTTCCGGAGTTCAGCTTCATCGTCAGTTCGAAGATTCTAGAATGCAGATACAATTACAAGTTAATGCAATTGAAAGTCAAGGAACCGAAATTAAAACCTAAATTTATAAATAAAAGACAAAGTTTAAGAAAAAAACGATCTATTCACAATTTCAAGTGGATAGGAACTAAATGCTGAATTCAAACTGGGACTCGGTTGAAAAATGTACAAGGGTCTGGAACAAGAAACGGCCATTTATAGATTTGATAACATTGCAATCGAAGAAAGACAAACTATTGTTAGATTAGCTCCATAGTAAATTTGATAGATTTATGTTGCGAGTTAGGGAATCAAAGAATGGTTTGACATGAGAGGAATGTTTGAAAATTGTACAGGTGTCATCGACGTATCTGTTATAGAATATTGGCTTAAAACTAAGAGGACCATTGGCCAGCCAAGAAACCTCGTGAAAACACAAAAAGAATCGAAAAGATTGGCTGAGCGGGAGACCCATGCCTAAAACGTCAATCTATCTGTATAACTTGCCAGCAAATATGAAAAAATATAACGCAGTACTCACTGCAGTGAGTGACTGAGAGCACATGTTCTCGTCGACGAAAACTTGAGGTCACGGACAGACGGACGGACAGACGGACAGACAGACGGACGGACGGACATGGCGAGCACAATAGTGCATTTTTCCCATAAATGAGAAAATGCGCTAAAAATAGTTGAGAACTGATAATTCTAAAAGAGATTTGAAAATATTACGGTTTAAGACAATAAAAAAATCATAAATATATTTAAACAAAGAATTGAGGCAGGTTTAAATTGTTTCATTAAGAGGGATATTAGTAAATAAATTTTCTACTTCAAATGAGGCCAGAATCAAGTCCTGTAAAAGCCTTCGAGCGATCCACAAACGTATAAGAATTATCAAGAGTAGACTGGTTAGTAGTAAGACAATTTAAAACCGTTACCAAAAACTTGGCAAGTTTAAAACTGGGAGTATTGTGCGCGGCAAAAATTGGTCGAACTTGAAACTTCGAGGCAAAATCAGACTTGTAAATTTTAAGTAAGCCATATAAAATACCAGGACCAGAACCAGGGGCATGAAGTTTAGAATAAGTTTCGGGTGATAAAGCAGAGGAATCTCTAAGTTTACTCAAGACGTTATTGATTTTGTCTTCTCTTTTCAAAATAGCTTTAGAGATTCGATCTGTAATTTCAACAAATTTGGAAGGATCGGTGAGGAGTGCATTTATGCTACTGTTGTAGCGGCTACGATCCACCAGAACAACGTCTTAGCTTTTACCAGGTTTGAAAGGTTTACTTTGCCTGATCAGTTCTTTATTTTTGGCTTAGTCATTCAATACGAGTGTGTCAAGGGGTGGAAATACAGAAGAAGTATTTCAACTCCGTGACACACTTAAAATCGATTACATCAAATGTGAATTAGTAAATCTGAAATTCATCACCGTTACAGCGATAAAAGCATTATGTCTAAATGGAAAGACAATGACAAAACAGTACGTGACAATTCTGAATAGAAAGACAATAGAGAATGTTTGAATGCCTGATATCGAAACGATGATCAGTTTAAAATAAATTGATCAATCATTAGTGGCATTAAGTATCGAAAACTGGCTCTGCAACGGTTTAAGAGACAAAGCACGACAACTATAATTTGAATAATGTTTGAATTTAAAAATAAATTGTAGCAATAATTTTGTAGACAAAGCATGACAATAATAATTCGAATAATGTTTAAATGTAAAAATAAATTGTAGCAACATTCATTAAAACATAAAAATAGAAATAGGTATATGAAGAAGAATATAAATTAAAGTTGAATGATGGCACTTCCTCTAGCTGACGATTTGTGATCGCCAACAAACTGATGTTCAATAAAAGAATTCCCTGATTTGATAAAATTAACGTCTTATGTAATCAATGATACACTGAACATGGCAAACTAAACATAAAAAATAAACCAATGCGAAACATTTATATCCTACAAACTACGAAAATTTGGAAATGACTCGAAAATTTTCCGTCTATTAACCTGACCCATTGCTGTATTGTTCTTGTGAACAATGAGTTACTCTCTTTTTGTCGATTTAACACCCTAAGTTTATGGAAGTTAATTTAAGGTATCAAGGTAATAGAACAGACTCTTATTTATAGTGCAAACAACATTTCTTATATTCAAATCGGGTCCCAAGAGTGCTATGTGTCACTAAAATATTCATCTTGAAGTCTAAGCGCAATCGTTGCCACCATTCAAGATATTTCGATGCCACGATTTATTAGAATTGATGGCAGAGATCTTATATATATTCAGAGTTTTTTTATCTTCATGAGCTATACTGAAATAGAATTTATACTACAGGCATGACCAAACCTACCAGTCTAAATCCTTCTATTGATCTGAAAACCGTCTATCTGCAGCGAATTCAACAAG